GTTACTTTTCAATCGCAGTATTTTCCGCAGAGGCAGATCACCTTTCGGAAACCAGGCGGGCTCACTTTGCCTGAAGGGCATCCGTGTGAAGAAGTGAAATGAGGAAATGAAGAAGAGAGAGGAGGAGTGCACTAGCAGCAGTTGGCATACATATAGGAAACCCTAATTGGGTTGTACTCGCTATAGAGTACCCCACTGCAGGCTAGACAATTATAACATTTTGACACACCCCCATAGCCAAAGTGGGGTGTAATCAGCACAATGAGCAAGCAGGCATAGAGCAGGAGTTCACAATAAGTAGCAAAGCTAGAGTTAATCACTGCGCGCAAGTGAGGAGGAGGAGGAACTGTGGAGGGAGAGAAGACGGGAGGCAACGACTGAAGCTGCAGAGGCACGGGCACAGGAGCGGTTGACTCAGTGGCTACCGAAGCAAGGGCGACGGACTACTGGAGTAACTGGCTCCGCGGCTATAGACGAGCGGCAGGAGCAACGGACCCACTGGCGACTGGTGCAGCAGGCTCACTGGCTACCGAAGCAAGGGCGACGGACTACAAGCGCTGCAGGTGACACGACAGCTACCTTCACACAACTTCCTCCAGCTGCCCCACACCTCTCGACACACACCCCCTACTCAAACCCTAGTTCTACTCTCACGGCACCCCCCTTTCACACACCCCTTGCTGCACCCTAGGTTCATTCACTCCCCACCCGCTAGCACCACTGCGTCGACTCCCACACACCCACCCCCCTCAGCGGCAGCTGCAGCAGTGGGAGACAGAGAAGGAGGAGGAGCAGGGGAGACCAAACACCCGCCACCCCCTACTCGCCACCCCCAAACCCTAACACAGGGCAGGGCGGGATGGCGGGTAGGGAGGTTACGGGGGAGGGGGGGGGGGGGGAAAGGGGGGCCAACGCGCGGCCTCCTAGGGCGCCAAAGCAGGCGGCAGAAGGGGCGGCTCGCCCCCCCCCCCCCCCCCCCCCCAGGTCGCCCCTCAGGTCGCCTCGACAGGCGACGGGAATATAGGGGGGGGCGGTGCACGTGCCCCCGATGCGCCGCGACAGGCGACGGAGCATGGCTGGGGCGGGGCCGGGGCAGGGTCGAGGCAGGGCCGAAAGGGGCAGCAACGGGGCCGCAAGGGGCGGCGACGGGGCCGGTGGAGGCGGCGACGGGGCCGATAGGGGCGGCGACGGGGCCACCAAGGGCCGCGAGGGGCCTGGAAGGGCGGCGACGGGCCGCTAGGGGCGGCGACGGGGCCGCGAAGGGCGGCGATGGGGCCGCGAAGGGGCCGCGAGGGGCCGAGAAGGGCGGCGACGGGGCCGTAAGGGGTGGCGACGGGGCCGCTAAGGGTCGCGCAAGGGGCACGCCACGGGACGTGCAGCACACAGAGTAGTAGCGGAAGCAGTTAGGTGGGCCCACAGGCCAGGAGCCTAGATGCTCTGATAGCATGTGAAGAAACAAGGGATGAGGAAATGAAGAAGAGAGAGGAGTGCACTAGCAGCAGTTGGCATACATATAGAAACCCTGATTGGGTTGCTACTCGCTCTAGAGGTACCCCACTGCAGGCTAGACAATTATAACATTCTGACAATCCAAACTAGGGGACTTGGTGGCGAAAGGAGGAGATGGCAGCGATCTTGTAAGAGCGATGAGGTTCTAGAGAGGGAACTGGGAGGTGTGGAGCAGAGGAAGTGGGTCCCTGAAGGCGTGGGATGCGACACCACAGGGGATGGAAGGATCTGGTACTCAACCAACTGTCGGCGGAGGAACTTTTCAGGTAAACGAGGCTGTGTCCGCTCTTGCGTCTTACCGCCCAGGAGAGTTCTTTTACTACCAGCTGCAATATGTGAGCAACGGCGAACTTTATGGTCGGAGAGTGACGGTGGACAAGAAATGGAACATAGGCGGGATGGAACATGCTAGCGTGGTAACGGTGGAATTTCGACGCGCTTCACACATGGCAGTCATAGATGGGAGGCCCGCGGCTTACTCGGCGCTCCAAGAACGCAGAACTTCTCTACTCCACAATCTGTGAGAAAGGCGAGCGGGCTGATCTAAAGAAGCTGAGGAAGGCGATGAAACCCTCGGTGGCGCAACCGAAACAGCAGGTGAAGTGGGAAGAGGAGTTGGGGAGGAGATCGGCTGGGGGAAGGCTATCACGGTCCGTGACTCACTGGGCAACCCCGTGCAGAGCATGCGAAGTGATACTGACAGTGCACAATCACAACCTCCAAGTAGGAGAACGGCTCCCCTTCTTGGGCGCGAGGGCGAAATGCACGTACTGTGGTGGAGTGGTATCGCAGGATCACTGCCTTTTCAGCTGCCCGGCGATCCAACCTGTGGTGGAGGTGATGAGGAAAAGCGGTTCAGTGTATGAATCCGGGCAGGACATGCGATCTCTCGGAGACATGCTCTTCCAAAGGAGTGGCACATCGACTGGTTTCCCTGAGGCATCAATCATATCCATTACAGTGCACCAAGTTTGGCTAGAGAGGTGCAACGCGGTTTTCTGAGGTAGCCGGGTTCCAACCAAGAGAGCTTTGAGGCACATAGCAGTTGGCTTCACGAGGTACGTGAAGATCTACAGCAGAGCGCAGAAGAAAATGGCTGGCAGGAATGCTTTGAAAAGCACGGGGGACTGGAGCCACCTGAATGCTGACGAACCAGGCACTATGCGCAGGCTCTATGAGACAGAGGCCTCGATGACGTGGAGAGCGGGTTTTAAGGCGATCTGGGAAGATGGTGGTGTAGCATTCCAACCTCCGTAAAAGGATAAGGGGGGCTCTGGTTACTTGGGTACTTGTAGCCTCTCCATGCCCTCCTAGCAACAGTTACGACTGCGGATCTATGTATGCTCGCAGTGTATTTATATCCACAAAAAAAAATGTTTACGTATTTTTAAACGGTTCAAAGCTACTGAATGTAGCAAACAGGTTTGGAGTGCGGTGGAAGATCGGTTGTTGAGGTTCAATCATGCAGAATCGAAAGAGGTGACGCGTCCTCAAGGTGCCAGATGATCTGTTGCGACCAGAATGCGGATTCCCAGTTGACTCCAGGATCGAAACGATCTCCTGAGTAGACGCCCTTTACTACGAACGCCCGTTTATGGAGAACATGTGAGGGGGTGTTGGGGTGTTGGTATCCCATGGGTGGGATGGAGGGCAGGTTGGTTGGGCAGGTGGGTCAGCGTCTCCACACACACACATGGACCTATGGGGGACCAGATATGTTATGCAGTGAGAAATTTCGACAGTGCTTGGACGGAGTTTGCGTCGGGTCAGGGTTGTTGGCGAAGACAAACCTCACAACAGAGCTGCTTCGTCCACTATTTATCTTACCCCACTATATTCCACAGATGTTTTCCAATTACTCATAACTAATATAAGATATATATTGTGTGTATGTTGTGCTCTAGAGCTTGGTAAACAATGCAAAACATAGTAAGAAACTTTAACAATATTTACTATATAGCATATAATTCCTCTTACATGTGTACATTCTAGAGCCTTTTTTTCATTCTAATGGTTGTCTCGTGCAAACTGTGTTTTATAGTTTTTGTTTCCTACATACTTTTTGCTCTATCATAACCTTGTTTAAACTTGTAATCGAGTTTTCCAGAAGCGTCGCGAAGGCTCTTCCGAAAACAAGTCATTCGCGATGAACCTCGAACTGGCTCTGGGCCCACGCAATCGCCACCGTCAACGCTTCCTTCCACTTCACGCCAACGGTGACGAGCAGGATGAGCTTCTGGTGACTACCCGAAACCACGGAAGCAAACTGAACCGCGCCGCTAATGACGCGGCACTCATTCCGTAATCCACGTGGAAGAGGGACACTTCTGGACGCCACGTGTGGTGCCACTATATTAGCAAGCTCAGCAGCCATTGGCACATCATACAACATTTTGACGACTACTACCGGCGCATTTGGCGATTCTCTTACGCAACGCTCTGACGATCGCAGACCCTTGCTTACAAACCAGTAACAACCTGTGAAATTTGGTCCTGGCGAATTGGCGAATTATTGGCGACCTCTGACCGTCAGTTTCTGCTGCTTCTAGCTGCTTCTGCTGACCTTCACTTCACAGAACTCTCCCCTCGTGCCTTCAATACTTACCCAATCTCACAGACCTTAAAATTTCCGTTCAATTCTCCTTACCCCAGTCTCTGATCCAGGATTCTTGGGTCCATTTCCCGCACGGACTAGCGAGCTCTGTGCCACTTAGAGCTTCAGAATCGCCTGCCTGAGTCTGCTTTGACGATTCACTTCACACCACACTCGACGTTCTTCCTTCGTCAAAGAACAATGGCTGCCGTTTCACAGTCCGTTCATGCGGGCCGCGCTAGGCCTAAATGGCCTTCGCGTCTCAGGGCCTGCTCAGAAGGCCACTGGCGTTCGCCACGCCAACTTCTTCTCAGGATCCACCTCGCTCAAGGCTGCCATTGCCAGAAGGCCGCCAGGTAAGCTCTTCCCGCTTTTGCCAACGAACGGGAACCTAACTGTTAAACTTCGGTACGCCACTCTGCTAGGGTTTATTTCAACAGCTAGCAAACCCGACGCTGATAAAATCTGTTTGTATCAATCACCCCATCTGTAGCTTCCGGTCACGAGGAAGATGAAGTTGTGGATCTCTAAGTGTTCTGGCTTCCGGTCTTCGATTTCGTTACTATGGTTCCTTTCGCTGACCTTGACCTCTTCTTGCTGCGCAATGTTTGAGTTCTCTCCAGGTGCAAGGCTGCTGGATCCAAGTCCGATGGACGCCTCTATGTGGTTTGCGAGAAGGTGGTCGGAATCGATCTCGGGACCACCAACTCGGCGGTCGCAGCCATGGAGGGAGGCAAGCCGACTATCGTCACCAACGCCGAGGGCCAGCGCACGACGCCGTCCGTCGTCGCATACACGAAGAACGGCGACAGGCTTGTCGGACAGATCGCCAAGCGTCCAGGCCGTCGTGAATCCCGAGAACACCTTTTTCTCCGTGAAGAGGTTTATCGGCGTTAAGATGGACGAGGTTAAGGACGAGTCGAAGCAGGTGTCGTACCACGTGATCCGCGACTCTAACGGGAATGTGAAGCTCGAGTGCCCGGCCATTGGGAAGCAATTCGCCGCAGAGGAAATCTCTGCGCAGGTGCTGCGCAAGCTGGTCGACGACGCGGCGAAGTTCCTCAATGACAAGGTGACGAAGGCGGTGGTAACTGTGCCTGCGTACTTCAACGACAGCCAGAGGACGGCGACCAAGGACGCGGGCCGCATCGCCGGCATCGACGTGCTTCGCATCATCAACGAGCCTACCGCCGCGTCGCTTGCTTACGGATTCGACAAGAAGAGCAACGAGACGATCCTCGTCTTCGACCTCGGAGGCGGAACCTTCGACGTGTCTGGTAAGTCACACTTGAAATAATGACTCGCTTTTATGAATCCGGTCTCTTCCGGAGCTGTTAGCGAATTTTCCCATATTCCTTTCTTCCTCCAGCCACTCGGTTGAAGTAGTGTTTTGAGACTGCTTCTAACACGTACCCGTTAGCAAATTTTCCCATTAGCATTTCTTCTTCCATCCACTCGCCGCCCTCTTGTTTTCCTTTATTTCTCTGCTTTTTTTGCTTTACCTTGCTCACAACTTCTCTTCATTCACCCTTGCCCGTGCTCCCCCCCCTCAGTCCTGGAGGTGGGTGACGGCGTGTTCGAGGTGCTATCGACCTCCGGCGACACGCACCTGGGAGGAGACGACTTCGACAAGCGTATCGTGGACTGGCTGGCGGACGCCTTCAAGCGCGACGAGGGCGTGGACCTCACCAAGGACAAGCAGGCGCTGCAGCGACTCACCGAGGCTGCGGAGAAGGCCAAGATGGAGCTCTCCACGCTTACCCAGACGTCCATCAGGTAGGGTTTCTTCCCGCGTGTTGTGTGTGGAGGTTATATTTACCGATTGTGGAGGACGCAGGGATGAACCGTTAGGGTTTGGGATCGGAGTGTGGAAGCTTTTCACAGCAGCAGGAATGTTACGCTCACGTGATTCGAAAGCAGAAATTCCCAAATTTCACACACAAACCTAGCCACACTTATGACCAATCCACTGCTCTCATGCCCATGTTTTGCCCTCTCCGTTCGCTCCCTGAATCCCCTACCTCCGTTCAGCCTGCCGTTCATCACGGCGACTGCGGACGGCCCCAAGCACATCGACACGAACCTCACGCGCGCCAAGTTCGAGGAGCTCTGCTCCGATCTGCTCGACAGGTGAGCACGAAACGTCTGGATTTTCGAGTTGTTAGAATGGAAACGTCATATTACTCTTACCCGATGTGCACTCAACATATAACACCAAATTAGTTCCTGAAACGTTCAGCTTTTGCCTCATGCAAGAATTCAGCATCTCCTGGTCACAATCACCCAGTAACTCTCCTCAACCCTTAAATAATTGTTAACACTGTGTAATCCCCTTGTGCTCTCTCTTCCTTCCCCCAGGTGCAAGACCCCCGTGGAGAACGCCCTCCGCGACGCCAAGCTGTCCTACTCCGACCTGCAGGAGGTCATCCTGGTTGGTGGGTCCACCCGCATTCCCGCGGTGCAAGAGCTCGTGAAGAAGCTCACAGGGAAGGACCCCAACGTGTCGGTCAACCCCGACGAGGTGGTTGCTCTCGGCGCGGCCGTGCAAGCCGGAGTGCTGGCGGGTGAAGTGTCGGATATTGTGCTGCTGGACGTGACCCCCGCTGTCTCTCGGCCTGGAGACGCTCGGAGGAGTGATGACCAAGATTATCCCCAGGAACACGACTCTCCCCACGTCGAAATCCGAGGTGTTTTCGACCGCGGCTGATGGACAGACGAGCGTGGAGATTAACGTCCTTCAGGGCGAGCGTGAGTTTGTCCGCGATAACAAGTCCCTCGGAAGCTTCCGCTTGGACGGCATTCCTCCCGCTCCCCGCGGGATTCCCCAAATCGAGGTCCGGTTTGACATTGACCGCGAACGGTATCCTGTCAGTGCAAGCTTCGGACAAGGGCACAGGCAAGAAGCAGGATATCACCATCACGGGCGCTTCTACCCTTCCCAAGGACGAGGTGTCTAAGATGGTTGAGGAGGCGGAGAAATACGCAGCAGAGGATAAGGAGAAGAGAGAGGCTGTGGATGTGAAGAACCAGGCTGATTCCATGATCTACCAGACGGAGAAGCAGCTCAAAGAGCTTGCGGAGAAGGTTCCTGCGGACGTGAAGGCGGGCGTTGAGGCCAAGGTGGCGGATCTGAAGGCTGTGGCGGGCGGGGATAACATCCAGGCGATCAAGGACAAGATGAACGACCTCAACCAGGAGGTCATGAAGCTTGGTCAAGCCGTGTACTCTCAAGGAGGTGCTCCCGGTGCTGACGGTGCTGCTCCTAGTGCTGGTGCCGGTCCCACACCCGGCGGTGCTGCTGGCGGCAACCCCAATGACGTGATCGATGCCGACTTCACTGATTCGAATGAGTGTAGCAAATGAGCTTAGGAATGCACAGGGATGTGGGGATTCGGGAATGAATCAAGCAGTAGAATTAGTCTGCTGCCTGGGTTTGCACTTGGCAGCACTTTGTGTGTACCTTTTCGACTGATTAGTTCTTTATTACCGTTGTTTCACTCAGGATGTGTCATGAATGTCTTGATGAGATGATACTAATCAAAACACATCCCAAGTCACTTGTGACCATTAATCTGCACAACCATTTTATGCACGCTAATCTAATAGTTTGTCAAACAAACTCCTACTGAATCTGTGCTACCGGAAGAGGGATTTGAAACTTCCATATCTACCACAACTTCAGTCTTAAGATCACCTCCAGCTACCCAGGATGCCTGGTTTGTAAGCTGCTTTGTACAAGGAGATTGTGTACTAAAGACAGTACCAGTTTTAAATCATAGCATACTCAACTCAGCATTACACACAGGAGCTGAGTGACTGCCAGATCAGGCACAAAAAGCAGCTGAGAAGTCAAGTGCCAAGCTGCAATGGCAAGCAGCCACATAGAGAGAAGCCGAGGAGTCGGGCGAAGGCAAGCAGACACAAGAGGAAAAGAATTCACTGACTTGACAGCAGTTGCAAGTAGCAACGATAAGTAGCAAAGGCAAGTACCTAGAGAGATGGAGGGAAGGCAAGTAGCAGCAGGGTGGGAAAGGGGGAGAGAGGGAAGATGAGAGGTTGAGGGAAGAGGGGAGTTGGGGGAGTGGTTGTGAGGGCGTGGAGGGAAGTGGGGAAGAGCTTTAACGAACTGCCGGTTATGCATAATGGGGAACAAGAGGGGGGTGCAGAGATGGATGGGGGATGCAAACGGGGAGTGGATGGGTGGGGGCAGATGATAGTTGAGTGGGGGGGAAAATTTTGAGGAGCCTCAAAAAGGGAAGAGAGGGAGCAGGGATGGAAGGGGATGCTAATGGGGCGGGTGGGGAGGGTTGAGTGTGGGAAAAGAAAGGGAGGGCGGGGGGGAATGAGGGGTGGTAAGGACGAGGTAAGGGGGAGGTGGGTGAAGGAGATGAGGGGTGGGGGCGGGGAGGAGGGGAGGGGAGAAGGGGGAGGGAGATGAAGGGTGGGAGGAAGAGGGTGGGAGAGGCCTGGAAAGAGGGTGGCGGAGGGGAGATGGAGGGGGTTGAGAGGGGGTTGCAAAATGGGGGGAGCAAGTGCGCGCCTCGGAGTGCAGGGAGAGGGGGGGGGGGGGGGGAGGAATAGGGGGAGAGGAGAGGATTTCGGTGGAGATGAGGGGAGAGCGGGGGAGATGAAGGGAGAGCGGGGGAGAGGAAGAGGAAGCGGGAGAGAGGAGGAGAAAGCGGGGAGGCGAGGGGAGAGCGGGGAAATGAGGAGAGAGCTTGAGGGGCACAAAGGGAGATAAGTGGGGATTTGTGACGCTTCTAGGCAAGGCCAGGGGAAGAGGTGGGGTGGGGGGGGGGGGGGGGGGGGGGGGGGGGGAGGGAGAGGAGGAAAGCGCAGGGAAGGAAAGGGGAAAATCAGGAAGAATAGGCCACTCTTGCCAGTCCTCTCCTTTCTGATTCCCCTTACGCGCTCCAATACGGACTTTCGCCCGCCCATTCCCCCTCCCTCCTCTCACTTACCCCTCATCTCCCTCCCGACATCCCTTTTTCCAGTGTCTTGCGCAACGGTCCGTATCATGCGTTTGCGTGATATGTCTCCCTGAATAAACGTTACAGATTTCTCCGCACGTTTATTATATTCGACTCAAAATAGCCCGAAAAATATTAGTTTCAAATGTGGCCGCAAATCGACGCAAATACCGTACATGACCAACAAAAATTGCCGGATCTTACCACCACGCAAATCTGGAAAGAGCAAATAACAGTAACTTCTAAAAAAAATCGCAGTAGTTACCGCACTAGACGTTTAGAGCGGAGAATACTGCAGTACGACAGAATGCTCCATCGAAACTAGCTACGAGGCTGAGATCTAACTTGAAGCTACCGAGAACAAAATCAGAGGCTCCATATTCTAATAGCCTACTATTTTGCCTCTAATTAGGCGAGACTTAGTGAGTGACGGTAACAAGATGTACGGTAGGTAATGCTCGCTGATGGGAGCACTAATGCTCACTGCCTTGATCTGACAAAACTAGCTATTAGAACTGGATAATGACGAGCAACTACTTGCTAGGGGAAGGGATTGTGACTTGCTTGATGCAACGTCGTGGTGATTGTGTCAGGGTGAGGGACATTCGGTGCTGCCGAGGAAACACCCTTCATTCCTATTGGCTAGAGAAATCCCCTTCGGATGTCCTTTGTATTTTTAGCTGCCCAAGTCAGGTTCGGAGGGGCAAAATAAGTTGCGAAAACAGCCTAAACTTTTCCTGCCACGCAGGATTTCCCTTACCATCCCTCCGCCGTCCCCGCACCTTACGCAAAACTCACGCAAAATCTTGAAATTTGATATTTAAAGCAGCGCCACGTCCACCACCTCCTACAAAGTTCAAGCCTGCCCTAGCCCATACTTCGATGCCCACAACGATACGCGCCCTCAGCAGATTCGTTTGCAGAAAGAGCGACACACACAAAATTACAAAATCAACCACTTTGTGAAAGAGATGTACAGCGAGGTTTGGTTGGAGGTTCGGCTCAATTTTTTTGGTCCGCCTCTAAGTTGCCAAACCATGCGGCTCGGAAGATTCCGTCAAAGCCACTTCGTAGGCGGGGATTTTTGAATTCGCCACTGTAGGTTTGACCCGCTCTGACAGGGATTACTTTCAGCCGCTTTACGGCGTTGACCCATCACATTTGGGTTGGAGCCGCGCCCTTCCGCGTCGCGGTGGCCGCTACCCAACAGACTCTCTTGTGCTGAATTGAATTCCATCCACTCAACGATCAGCGGCACCATGCTTCAGCTTCCGAAGAAACGCTGTTCCTCCTCACAAGCTACTCGATCACCCCACCTCGGCCATCAAAATCTTGTAGTCTCTATTATGGCCTTCGTGTTCCGGTTGCTTCAACATTCTGACCTTGGACTTAAGACTGTTTGGTGCAGTCATCTCAGACAAGCTTCAACATACTGATCTTTTGTTGGACTTTAGACTGTTGACTCCACGGAGCAACTCAAGCTATTGAGCCCACCCGGCTAGTAAATGGGGAAAGCCTTGGCACGAAGCAGCGTGAGGTCGCGTAGATTAGAGTCTCGTGTAGAATAGCGTGGATGGGGTGGGTTGGGTAGGTTAGAGTCGAGTCTGAGCGAGCTGCCAAGTGCCTAAAGCTGAACCATTTACGAAACCGGGTTCTCGCGGCAATCTCTGCACCGCGACGAAGTTAAGTTGCTGCTGGCGCGGCCTTTCCCCGTCGCTGCCGCCAAGACAAGTGATCGACGAAAGCAACATTCCACCGCAAGATCTACATGATCTTCACTGCAAGAGCTTCAAGCGTCGCATGGAGCCTCCCCCTCTGGCTGAAGTTGCGACTGGCGCGGCCTTCCCCGTCGCTGCCGCCACGACAAGTCTCACCGTCGCTTAAACACGAAACACACGTCGGCCTTTGCCGTCGCTCCCCGGCGGTCTTCTCCACCAGCAAGAAAACTGCCGAGTGGAGGTAAGTGCAGTTTTATTCGACTTATTCCTGTAACTATCTTTGGCCAGTTCATTTCTTAAGTCGTTCAACATTGTTCATGTACTAAACCGTTTCTTTCTTCCCGCAGAGCTTTTGGCGACCGTCTTCGCGAGATTTCAATCACCGACGCTAAGACTTGAAGTGACGACGTTATGATCTGAAGCGCCGGCGCTAAGGCAAGCTCTTCACGACAAATTCAAGATCACGCCAATACGGCGAGATCGCCAATTCGGAGAAGTCAAGTCTCACCATCACGCAGACCACGTCGGTCTTCCCCGTCATGAAGACGGTCGAGAGGAGGTAAGTGGATCTTTTCTCGACGTCTCCCTTTAACCGTTTTGACAAGTTATTATATTATATGTCGTTCAACTTTGTTCAAGTACTAACCTGTTTCGTTCATCCCGCAGACCTCGTGGCGACCGTCTTGGCGAGACTTGAGCCGCCGACACGAAGACTTGAAGCGCTCACTCTTGAGCCGTCTTTAACACCGGGTCCACCGCGACATCGCAACCCGAAGACGGGTTCACGCCAACACGAAGACGGCCGGCTGGAGATAAGTGCAACTTTTTCAATCTCTTGCTGCGCCAAATTGTTCTTCTTCTATGTCGCTTCCTAGCACTAAATCTGTTGCCTTTTTCCTGCAGACCTCCTGGCGACCGTCCGTCAAGTCACGCTCGCCGACGCTGTCACGCTCTTTGCGGTCTTGTCGCGAGGAGAGCTTTCGCGGGCTCCGACTCGCTCGCCGAGTCCCTCGCCGTCCAGGTTAAGGTAAGTGAAGCCAACTTCTAAGTTAACTTTCCGTCTTCCTTTTATCTCTTTGCCTTTCCGTGTACTAACGCGTACGCTTTTCTCCCTGCAGATCGTCTTGGCGACCGACGGCCGTCGATTGACGCCATTGACGCCACTGACGCCATTGACGACAATGACGCCATTGACGCCGCTGACGCCGTTGACGACACTGACGCCATTGACGCCACTGACGCCATTGACGACACTGACGCCATTGACGCCACTGGCGCCATTGACGACACTGACGCCACTGACGCCACTGACGCCATTGACGCCACTGACGCCATTGACGCCATTGACGCCATTGACGCCACTGACGCCATTGACGCCACTGACGCCATTGACGCCACTGACGCCACTGACGCCATTGACGCCATTGACGCCACTGACGCCATTGACGCCACTGACGCCATTGACGCCACTGACGCCATTGACGCCATTGACGCCATTGACGCCATTGACGCCACTGACGCCATTGACGCCATTGACGCCATTGACGCCACTGATGCCACTGACGCCATTGACGCTCGCCGAGTCCCTCGCCGTCCAGGTCAAGGTAAGTGAAGCCTTCTACTTTGAATTTACTTTCCGTCTTCGTTTTCTTTAGCCTTTCCGTGTACTAACGTGTACTTTCCGTCTTCTCCCTGCAGACCGTCTTGACCGCCAGTCACGTGAACGAGGACTCTACCTTCAACGAAGCTTTTCCCGTCGATGGCCCGTCTCAAGCCGCAAGAGGACCGACATGCGCCGAGACGCGTACAGATGTTTGTCAAGGAGTCGGGGTGAGTAAAGTCTACTTACAAGTCAACTTTTCGTTCTCGTCCTTTAATATTTGATTGTACTAATGTACTGCCTTCTTCCTGCAGGCCTGCGCGACCGTTTCGGCGACCGAAGGTGGGGAAGAAGCCTACCATCGAGGACGCTTAACGTCGCCAGAGCACCTGTGTGCCAAGCCGACATTCGCCGAGCCTACATGCTCCGAGACGTGATGATTGTCGGGGTGAGTAAAGCCTACTTCAAACTGTCATTACTTTCGAGTTTACTTTCAAGTCTTCTTCTTTATCATTCCTAGTACTAATCTACGTATATTTCCTTCTTCCCGCAGACCTCGGCGACTGTCTCGGCGACTGTCGCGGCGACTGTCTCGGCGACCGCCTTGGCGACCGAAGGTGGTGCTTCTCTGGTCGTGTGAACGCTTGCTCTGCGACGAAGACACGTGGCGTCGCGTGAACTCTACCGTCGATGGCGTCACGTCGCAAGCGGCCGGCGACGGTTGGCATCACTTCGTCCGTCGCCGACGGTAGCGGATCTCTTCGAGTAAAGTGCTGAAGACCTTTCCTGCGTTTCTTTTGGCGGCTTCGATTTGTTCTCCCTTACTCGTAATTCTCCTTCCTTGTTCTCGACGATTTCGTTCTTATTCGATTTCGTATGTTCTTATTTCTCCTTCTTTCTCCTTCTCGGTAACTTGCAGAGGCTGACCGAGGACGGATGGCGACACATGGAGACGCGTGGCGAGGAAGCAAGGATATGGACGCGTGGCGCGAGGCACGGCGACGCTTCTTGGGCGTCGCCTCACGGTCGCACGGCGTGTCTCGCGGGCGAAGGCGCGTCTCGCGGGCGAAAGGCGCGTCTCGCGGGCCAAGCGCGTTTCGCGGAGGCGTGTCTCGCGGGCGGAGGCGCGTTTCGCGGGCGAAGGCGGGACTCCACGGCGCTTCTCTCTTGGCGGTATTTATTTTTTTCCATCTCGCGGTCGAATTTCGTTTCGTGGGTTTCGCATTCCATTTCGTCGGTCTCCTCTCTGCCGCGATGCCATGACGTGTGGCTTCGCCATGTGTGAGCAGTTAGAAGAGCAAGACTCCAAAGTCTGCGGGGTTGTGCGAGCGGGGTTGGGGCAGGGCGGCGGCGGAGGGGGAAGGGTAGCCCCAGCCCGTTCCTCTCCGCCCCCCCTCCCGCTCCACTGCCCCATTCGGCGACAACGACTACACCGACCGTCAGCGACCCGTCAACGACCTCCTACAGCAACGACTACAACGGTAAAAACCCCGGCGGCTTTCACGGTAAGAATTGTCTCATTTCGTTTTGCTGTTTCTTTTACCGAGTATCTAACGCCTATTTTCGTGTTCCTCTTAGTGCAGCAGGCAACACGGTAGCAACTACAGCGAGTAACGGAGGTAAAGAAGAGCTAGCTCTTCCTCTCCTCTTCTCTGGTAAGTACCGTCGAATTTAGTCAAGTTTATTCCTCTTCGAAATCTAATGGTGGCTTTCATGTTTCTTGCCTTCAGCGCAGGAGGAGCCGGCGGGAATAACGGAGGTGGCAGCTCGCGGGTGGGAGCTCGCGCGGACGGCGAGAAATGGAGGTAACGGGGGGAGGTTTCTCCCTTGCCATGGTAAGTGCAGTCTAATTTCCTTATACGTTTTTTCCTTGATTATGATACTAATTCCTATCTGTGTGTTCCTTTCTCTTAGCGCAGCGGAAGCGGGAGACTCGCGGGGACGGCGGCGAACAAAGGAGGTTCTCCCTTGCCTGGTAACTGCAGTCTAATTCCGTTCAGCTTTTTCCTTGATTATGATACTAATTCAAATCTTTGTGTTCCTTTCTCTTAGCGCAGCGGAAGCAGGAGTGGGGACTCGCGGGGACGGCGGCGAACAAAGGAGGTTCTCCCTTGCCTGGTAAGTGCAGTCAAATTCCGTTTAGTTTCTTCCTTTATTATTACACTAATTCCTATCTTTGTGTTCCTTTCTCTTGGCGCAGCGGAAGCGGGAGTGGGGACTCGCGGGGACGGCGGCGAACAAAGGAGGTAACGGGGGGAGGTTCTCCCTTGCCTGGTAAGTGCAGTCTAATTCCGTTAAGTTTTTTTCTTGATTATGAAACTAATCTCTATCTGTGTGTTCCTTTCTCTTAGCGCAGCGGAAGCGGGAGTCGGAGGGAGCTCGCGGCGACGCATCTTCGGGGGCGTCTCATGGGCGCGCGGCGGGGCATCGGAGCACGGCGCAGCGCGGCGCATCGGAGCACGGCGCAGCGCGGCGCTTCGGAGCGCGGCGCATCTGAGCACGGCGCTTGGCGGCGCTTCTCTCTGCTGTTCGTCCCGTCGTCGCCTTTCTGCTCGTCAAATTTCCGTTCCTCTCCGCCTTGGTGCCGTGACGCGTGGCATCGCCATGTGTGGGCAGTGTTTCACGAACTCAAGCAAGACAAGAAGCGTCGGGGTTGTGCGAGCGGGGCGGCGGAGGGGGAAGGGTAGCCCCAGCCCATTCCCTCTCCGCCCACCTCCCGCTGCACTGCCCCATCCGACGACAACGACTACACCGACCGTCCACAGCAACGGCAAACGGCACCAGCGGTAGAAGCCGCTTTCACGGTTAGAATCCTCTGATTCCGTTTTGCTGTTTTTGTTTACCGTATATCTAATGCTTTCTCGTGTTACTCTTAGTGAAGCGGAAGCAGCTTGGAGCAACAACAGGAGGAATGAGGGAGACCAGGAAGACGGGAAGGCGGAGCGCGGAGCTTCGTGGTAAGCTGTCGTTGCTTTTGGCGCGCTGTTTCGTTTCGTAAATTACTTATCTCCTATTTTTCGTCGTCTGTGCTGCAGGAAATGAAGTCTGGAGGGAGGCTGCATGTATCGGGGGCGTGGAGTGGGGAGAAGCCGGAGCACGGAGGTGGAGCATAGAGCTGGAGCGAGGAGCTGGAGCGCGGAGCAAGGAGCGAGGCGGGAATCTGATTTCCCCCTCTCGTCCCGCCATTCCCCGCAGATTTGGCGGGAGGGAGCAGAGCACCCCGGCATGATATTGTGAGTGGGTTTGAAGGTGTGTTGGTGGGTACAGATCGATAGGAGCGTGCTAGGCACTCGATAGGCACACATGGGCGATGGGTTTGAAGGTGTGTTGGTGGGTACAGATCGATAGGAGCGTGTTAGCTTGGCACTTGATAGGCACACATGGGCGATGGGTTGGGTTTAGGTGCGCTGGTATGGTGTCAGGTATGCCCAGGTACGCCTCTCCCTCTTGATGGCTGGCCGTCATCCTGACAAACTCCATTCTGACAACAAACGGGAATCGTCTGAAGTGTTTATTCATCTGCCCCTTTCCTTAGATTTGACCGTTTCCCCCACCTCCCAAACAGGCCCCACGCGAATGACCCCCACCTCATCGTGGTGCGTGGGTGAAACGTCAGGGGCATTTGCCTCTGACGGCCAAGAGGGGTCAAGAAGACGGTCGAGCTGCTCTGGAGGCGCTGCTGTGGAAGCTCAAGTGGATCTAGCTTTAGCAACAACTCTAGGTTTTGACTTGTAACTCTTTACTGAATAAAGTACTCTCCAGTTTTCAACCCCTTGTACTATTAATATCATTCGAATGAATACATATCTTGCGCCTTGGACAGAGTTCCGTTGTGAACCTAGAATACTCTGATACTAAAACAAATGCCCGTTAGAGCAGTTTGTACCTTACCAATGAAAAAGGGGAAAGTACGGGCGGCTCAAAGTTCAACTGATGAGCTCCCATTCTACCCTGCGCCGCGACTTCAACCTGAGCGAGAACCCAACTTCCTTGTGCGCCACATGCATTTCGTGGCGGAAGGTGGATACCGCTACGTCAGGCTGGCGGCAGCGTCAATGGTTTGATTGGTTCCTCAAATCAAGCAATACTGTAATTGGCTTGAATTCCGATTGTGGTCCCTGCGAGCCTCAAATTTCCTCCTGTACCAGCCACACAAGCATCCACCGCCACGCATTGCCTGAATCCTGGCCTGTCTGTTGAAGCTTCGACAGTCTCGAGGCAGCTGAAAAGGTGGGAAGGGCGGCAGCGTCAATGGTTTCATTGGTTGTTCGGTCAATGGAAGGCGCGCTTCCAGGTTCTAGGTACAGCAGGGTAGGTGAGAGACATGGCTAGGACATGGAGTGACACTTTTCGTAGTTCCTGAGTCCTAACTCCAGAGCTCGCGTCTCAGCAGCAATTTTTCTAATGGCTGCGGTTGTAGCTAATATATTCTGGTGACCGTTTACCTGAGACTTGTCCCGAGCTTTGGTTTCTGGAATTCGATAACATTCTGGATAATCTTGACCTGAGTTTCGTTCGTAAAATCTCTGTACAGCTTCCCAAGCTAATACTCGACTGACTGCCTTGTGCCACAGATAACCTCGATCTGTGCCGCTTACGGTACATCTGAAAGAGTTTCCAGTCTGACAGAATGAGTTACGACACGGCCGTTGAGAGCCAGTCGGTTCCATCGCGCGGCGGAGCGATCTCCATGGAGCAGCACCGGCGCGGACGGCTGCTGAAGCAGCAGCTGCAGCTGGTAGCGCGGAAGACGCCGGACGGCAAGGAGCGCAAGGAAATCGCGGTGATCCCGGAAACCCTATCCTTCGAGAAGGGCTTCTTTCTGTTCATTCGAGCCGTGCAGCTGCTAACTCAGGTAATCTCTCAAAATTCAGTCCAGATTTGCTCCGTTCCACAGAGGTCATATACTGATTGTCGACGATGATCGGCAGATGAGGATCGACGGTGATAGTAGATCAGGGATTCGTAGAAGCTCCTTCCAGTTCTTTCGGGAGGTGTACGATGATGCGTAACGACCAGAGTAACGATCGTCGCAACAATCGGCGCCGCGATCCGCGCAACGAACAACGAACAACGCGATTAGGCGATTGGCACAACTTTCAGCGCAGCAATAAGCGGAATAATCTGCGCAATCGACGGCGATCAGCACTATTGTCAGCTCTTGGATCCCCTCAACGATAAGCGCTGTTAGGGTCCTATGCCATCCTGACTGCATTGATAGAGACGTGTGCCGATCATCGCTTCAGGCTAGTCTAGTTTTCGAATTTCAACCTGCAAGTACTTTTGAGGCGCCTCAAAAGGCTAGTCTAGTTTTCGAATTTCTACCTGCGAGTACTCCGTTTCACATGGCTCGCCATCTTTGCTGTCGATATGCCGAATTTCGACGAAACCTCCACAGCTGACACCATCGCTGACCTCATCGCTGACGCCAACCGACACCGTCGCTGCCCTCGCCTATATAGCTGCTGTCCGCTCGTCCGCATTCGTCTCGCACCTTTCAAATTCACCTGTCAGCCTTCGTAGACCTCCCTTCCCTCCCTTACCTCCCGCAAACCCCACACATCAACCTTCCCACACTTCCTTCCTATACCTTCTTTCGTACTTACCTCCCGTACTTTCGTCCCATACCTCCCGCCCATACCACTTGCCCGCACCTCCCGCCCACATCTCCCGCCCGTACGTGCCTACCGTGGCAGAACAACGAAGGCATGGTCCTGGTGGGTCTAGCGGGCCCGTCTGGCGCCGGCAAAACGGTCTTCAGCGCCAAGGTATAGCCACGCGCCATTCTGCCGCCCTGAAACCCCGTGCACGTTTCGGGGATTCTCAAGGTAACCGCGGTTACCCCGTGAAACCCCGTGCACGTTTCAGTGCCTTACCTTGGCTGGCGGGCCATTCTGCGGCCTGAAATCTCGTGCACGGGATTCCCAAGGTAAGGAAGCGGAAGGATTAAGAAATTTGTCAAGTGTATAGCTGGTTTGGTTAAGGTCAGCGTTCTACGCATACATGTAACCCCGTTGTTGTGCGACTCAGTACATGTAATGTAAGTAACACACCAGTGCTGTATGATGTATCCTGACATTGCAATAGAGAGGGTTGAGTTGTTGAGTAGCGTGTGCCTTGCTTGATTGCCAGACATCGTTGCTTGTGCCTGATCACAAGATGGTCCTCCTGGGTTCCTCCCTGTACGCGTTATTGTCTGCTGCAGGTCCTAAACTTCATGCCTGGCATCACGGTAATATCTATGGACAACTACAACGTGGCCAGTCGCGTCATTGATGGCAATTTTGATGGTGAGAACCGAGACATGCCTTAGGCTCTGCCTGAATGTGTCCTCTCGAGGTTTGCCTCTCTCAATGCCTCTCCTCCACCCCTTATTCATAAACCTGAATTCATACTCACTGGTTTGTCGTTCGCCCCAACAACAAGATCTCCATTCCAACCCCTCTCCTCCTTCCCCCCACCCCCTCAAGCCCTTTTCTCTTGCAAATAGAATTGTGAAACAAGGACTACGAGCTTCTGCCAGGCTGAAATATCACCAAAATTCATGGGTTTATTCCCGTCACACCCTCTACTAACCTTTTTTTCCCCAGACCCGCGAATTACGGATTACGAGCTGCTGCTGAGCAACCTGCAGGGGCTGAGGGAGGGTCGCACAGTGCAAGTGCCGATATATGACTTCAAGTGCAGCACGCGCGTGGGGTTCAGGTGAGGAGTAAGTGATGGTGAGGGAGAAGAGAGAGATAGGTGCATGCATGTGAGTATGAGGTGGGATCAGGCTCCCTGGAATAGGGGCGCACAGTGCAGGTGCCGATCTATGACTTCAAGTGCAACACGCGCGTGGGGTTGAGCTGAGGAGGAAGTGTGAAGGTGGCGGTGAGGGGGAATTGAGAGATGGGTGCCGACAAGTGAGTGTGAGATGCGGGTAGATACCCTGGGACAGGGTCGCACGGTGCTGCTGCTTGTATATGACTTTCAGAGCAACATGCAAGTGGGCCCCTGTACCGTCCTACGCCTCTCCATGTCCTTCGATTCTGACCCATTTTAGATAAGTGGAAGACTTCCCTTCACCCTACTCCACTCCACTCTGCGCCACTCCACCCCACCCCACTTCACTCCACCCCACTCCACTTCACTCCACCCCACTCCACTTCACTCCACCCCACTCCACTTCACTCCACCCCACTCCACTATATTCCACTCTACTACACTCCACACCACTCTACCACACTCCACCCCATTCCACCCCTCTCCACTCCCCTCCCTCCCTCCCTGCTTCCTCGCAGAGAAGTGAAGGTCCCCAAGTCGCGCATCGTGATTATAGAAGGCATCTACGCACTCAGCGAGCGCCTCCGACCTTTGCTCGACTTGCGGGTGTCTATAACGGGAGGAGTGCACTTTGACCTCGTTAAGAGAGTGCTGCGGGACATCGACCGATCGGGGCAGGCGCCAGAGGAGATCATACACCAAATTTCTGAGACGGTGTACCCGATGTATAAGGCGTTCATAGAGCCGGATCTCCAGACTGCACACATACGGATTGTCAACAAGTTCAACCCGTTCTCGGGGTTCCAAGACGCGACTTACATTCTCAAGGTGCAGCGTGGTGGACTGTGGTGCGGTGCGGTGCGTGTGGTGCAGTGCGGTGTGGTGTGGTGGGGTGTGTGGTGGGGTGTGTGGTGGGGTGAAGCGTGGTATGGGATGCGATGTGACGTGGTGAGGCGTAGGACTGTGACCTGTGATCTTGGATTATGTTTTTCCGTTCGTCCCTCCACTTCACCGTTCGTCCCCCCACTTCCCCGTTCGTCCCCCCCCCTTCCCCCTTCATTATCCACATTGCCCAGCATTCTGTGACCTTTCTCCTTTCCTACTCAAGCTCAGCTTCCTTTCCTTGTTCCCTTTCATTGCTTAGCTGCTAGCTGAGAAGTAACCCCTTTCCTTTCATTGCTTCTCCTCCTGGTTATTGATTTTTCTTCAGGCACCCGAATCCGACCCTGCCGAAGCTGAGGCTCGGATCCGGTCCGTGCTGTCTGCTGAGGCAGTGGCAGGCTCGGAGAGCGAGGAGACGTACGACATCTACCTGCTGCCGCCCGGGGAGGACAAGGAGACGTGCCAGTCGTACCTGAGAATGCGCAACAGAGACGGGCGCTACTCCCTCATGTTTGAGGTCAGTTCTGTTCTATGGCCCTCTGGGTGGTAGTGTGTGTGAGGTCGTTCAACCAAGGGTACAGAAGCAGGGCAGCTTGTAAAGAGGACGCGAGGATGCACAATAGAGGTGGGCGCTACTTCCTCATGTTCGATAAGCGTGCTTTAAGTGGTGGTGGTCGTTGGGCCTTCAAGGGTATACCAATCGTGTGTGACAGACGGCATTCATTACCCATACTCCAACGCTCTATTCCCTACTTCCCTGCCTCCCTCCCTCCCTCCCTCCCTCCCTCCCTCCCTCCCTCCCTCCCTCCCTCCCTCCCTCCCTCCCTCCCTCCCTCCCTCCCTCCCTCCCTCCCTCCCTCCCTCCCTCCCTCCCTCCCCTCCTCCCTCCCTCCCTCCCTCCCTCCCTCCCTCCCTCCCTCCCTCCCTCCCTCCCTCCCTCCCTCCCTCCCTCCCTCCCTCCCTCCTCCCTCCCTCCCTCCCTCCCCTCCTCCCTCCCTCCCTCCCTCCTCCCTCCCTCCCTCCCTCCCTCCCTCCCTCCCTCCCTCCCTCCCTCCCTCCCTCCCTCCCTCCCCACCTCCTCCCTCCCTCCCTCCCTCCCTCCCTCCCTCCCTCCCTCCCTCCCTCCCTCCCTCCCTCCCTCCCTCCCTCCCTCCCTCCCTCCCTCCTCCCTCCCTCCTCCCTCCCTCCCTCCCTCCCCTCCTCCCTCCCTCCCTCCCTCCCCTCCTCCTCCCTCCCTCCCTCCCTCCCTCGCTCCCTCCCTCCCTCCCTCCCTCCCCACCTCCTCCCTCCCTCTCTGGCCTGCAAACCCAAACCCCTCGCCAGGAGTGTGTGACAGACGGCCCCTTAGTGATAACCCCACGCATCACCTTTGAAGGGAGTGTGCGGGTGCTGCCCCCTTTACCCCTGACTCCAAACACGCCCTCCCCCACAACTCCCTCCTCGCCAGGAGTGCGTCACAGACGGTCCCTTTGTGATAACCCCGCGCATCACCTTCGAAGTGAGTGTGCGGCTGCTGGGGGGGCTGATGGCGCTGGGCTACGAGATGGCGCACATCCTCCGCAGGGAGTCGCGCGTTTTCAGGGACAAGCAGCAGCACATTGTTGTGAAAGTCGACCGCCTCGAGCAGATAAAGAAGACGTTCATGCAGGTGAGCGGGGACAGCAGGGGCAGCAGGGGCAGCAGGGGCAGCTTAGGCATCAAGATTAGGAATTTCTGGCACGGGCTGGTAGTGGTAATGGGCTGGGGGGGCTCATGGCGCTGGACTACGAGATGGCGCACATCCTCCACAGGGAGTCGCGCGTTTTCATCCTACGAGATGGCGATGGGACAAGCAGCATGTGATAGTGAAGGTGGACCGCCTCAAGCAGATCAAGAAGACGTTCATGCAGGTGAGACGGGAGTAGAGGGCGTTGAGAGAGGGTGAGGGTGTGAGGGAAGGGAAGCAGTGGCAGGTGTTCACATCACAGAAGTAACATCGAAGGGATTCAGCTGCACAACCTCCCCCTCCCTCTTCAAAACCTCTGCATTCTCTCCCTTCCCACCACCAGGTGCAGGACCGCAAGCGAGTGAGGGAGATAACAGCGCAGCTGGGCATGGAGGGGCGGTACAGCCCGCGGCTGTAGATCGAGGAGACTCAGCTGCACAACCCACCGCTCCCCGCCATTCCCCACCACTTCCCACCTCTGCCCTCTCTCCCTTCCATTCGTGCAGGTCCAGGGCAAGGACCGCAAGCGAGTGAGGGAGATAGCAGCGCAGCTGGGCATGGAGGGGAGGTACAGCCCACGGCTGTACTATCCTCAGCTCCCTCCACTTCCCACCATTTCCCACCACTTCCCACCTCTTCCCACCACTTCCCACCACTTCCCACCCCTGCCTTCTGTCCCTTCATCCCTCTGCAGGTGCAGGGCAAGGACCGGAAGAGAGTCAGGGAGATAGCGGGGCAGTGGGGCATGGAGGGGCGGTACAGCCCGCGGTTGTACATCGAGGAGATTCAGCTGCACAACCCACCCACCACTTCCCACCCCTTCCCACCACGTCCCACCTCTGCCTTCTGTCCCTGCAGGTCCAGGGCAAGGACCGGAAGCGAGTACGGGATATTGCAGGGCAGTTGGGCATGGAGGGGCGGTACAGCCCGCGGCTGTACATTGAGGAGATTCAGCTGCACAACCTCACAGAGGAAGTGCAAGCTTTATCAGCGGAGAGTGTGCTCAAGGAGCGGTTCCGAGTGGCGGATCACCTGCTGCCGTCTGGGAGCCCCATGGGTGCCCCGCTCTCCTCCTCCCTCACCCCGCCTCTTGTGTCATCCTCCTGGACTCTCGGTCACAAGTTCGACCAGTCGTGAGTTACTCGCTCTCCCTAGGCTGTCCCTCTGCCCTCCTCTCTGCTCTTCGATCTCCCTAGACTGTAAAAAAAAAAAACATCGCTCTCCTTAGACTGTCAGCAGAGAGTGTGCTCAAGGAGCGGTTTAGAGCGGCGGATCACCTGCCGCCGTCTGGGAGCCCCATGGGTGGTGCCCCCCTCTCCTCTTCACTCACTCCTCCGCTCGTGTCCTCCTCCTGGACCCTCGGCCACAAGTTTGATCAATCGAAAGTTCTCTTTCTTGCTCATGCGTTCTTGCCAAGCTGTGAGTTCTCTTTCTCCATGGTTCAGAGTGGCGGATCATCTGCTGCCGTCCGGGAGTCCCAGAGGCGGTGCCCCCTTCTCCTCCTCTTTTGAGTCGACTCAAAAGCAGTCCGGGAGTCCCAGAGGCGGTGCCCCCTTCTCCTCCTCTTTTGAGTCGACTCAAAAGCAGTCCGGGAGTCCCAGAGGCGGTGCCCCCTTCTCCTCCTCTTTTGAGTCGACTCAAAAGCAGTCCGGGAGTCCCAGAGGCGGTGCCCCCTTCTCCTCCTCTTTTGAGTCGACTCAAAAGCAGTCCGGGAGTCCCAGAGGCGGTGCCCCCTTCTCCTCCTCTTTTGAGTCGACTCAAAAGCAGTCCGGGAGTCCCAGAGGCGGTGCCCCCTTCTCCTCCTCTTTTGAGTCGACTCAAAAGCAGTCCGGGAGTCCCCAGAGGCGGTGCCCCCTTCTCCTCCTCTTTTGAGTCGACTCAAAAGCAGTCCGGGAGTCCCAGAGGCGGTGCCCCCTTCTCCTCCTCTTTTGAGTCGACTCAAAAGCAGTCCGAGAGTCCCAGAGGCGGTGCCCCCTTCTCCTCCTCTTTTGAGTCGACTCAAAAGCAGTCCGGGAGTCCCAGAGGCGGTGCCCCCTTCTCCTCCTCTTTTGAGTCGACTCAAAAGCAGTCCGGGAGTCCCAGAGGCGGTGCCCCCTTCTCCTCCTCTTTTGAGTCGACTCAAAAGCAGTCCGGGAGTCCCAGAGGCGGTGCCCCCTTCTCCTCCTCTTTTGAGTCGACTCAAAAGCAGTCTGGGAGTCCCAGAGGCGGTGCCCCCTTCTCCTCCTCTTTTGAGTCGACTCAAAAGCAGTCCGGGAGTCCCAGAGGCGGTGCCCCCTTCTCCTCCTCTTTTGAGTCGACTCAAAAGCAGTCCGGGAGTCCCAGAGGCGGTGCCCCCTTCTCCTCCTCTTTTGAGTCGACTCAAAAGCAGTCCGGGAGTCCCAGAGGCGGTGCCCCCTTCTCCTCCTCTTTTGAGTCGACTCAAAAGCAGTCCGGGAGTCCCAGAGGCGGTGCCCCCTTCTCCTCCTCTTTTGAGTTGACTCAAAAGCAGTCCGGGAGTCCCAGAGGCGGTGCCCCCTTCTCCTCCTCTTTTGAGTCGACTCAAAAGCAGTCCGGGAGTCCCAGAGGCGGTGCCCCCTTCTCCTCCTCTTTTGAGTCGACTCAAAAGCAGTCCGGGAGTCCCAGAGACGGTGCCCCCTTCTCCTCTCCTCCTCCCTCACCCCTCCTCTTGTGTCCTCATCCTGGACTCTCGGCCACAAGTTCAACCAATCGTGAGTTATCTTTTTCTGCTCTCCTCCTCTTCGTATGCTCTTCAAAACCCTTCACTGTGTAGCTGTATGGTTTCTTTCTCTCTCCGTTAACCCTCCTCTCGTCTCCTCCTCGTGTCGTGCTTTCCCTGTACTCCCCTCTCCTTATCTTCTTGCCCTCGTCCTTCGTCTCTCATTGGCGGTCGCTCCTCCCCTTTTTTTACCTCCCCGCTGGTATGCTGATTGCGTTTATTTTTTACACTTGCCGTCCCATGCCCCCCATGCTATGGACCCCCCATGTCCCCGCGGTCCCATTCCCCCATGTTCCTTCATCCCATGTCATCCCATGGCCAGCAACTGGAGAAAGGAAATGCAGGGGGGGCGTATTAATGTGTCTCCAGACAGACTCAAGGCCTCACCCATCGTCAACCAAAGCGCCAACGCTGCTGCTACCTCCTCTAATGACACACCCTCGATGCCCTGTCCCATCCCATCCCACCATGTTCCCCCCGTCTGTCCCATCCCATGGCCAGCAACTGGAGCAAGGACCAGCAGGGGGGACGAATCAACGCTTCTCCGGACAGACTCGAGGCGTCACCCAGCAACGCTGCTACCTCTGCGAATGACACTCCCTCAAGGCGACACAAGCGGGAGGGGGACCGGGAGAGAGCGGGCGCAGGAGGGAGGCATGCGGATAGTACAGGAGAAGGGGGAAGCAGCAGGAGAGGGGGGGGCGGCAATGGCAGCGGCAGCGGCAGCAGGAGTCGGAATATGGGTCATGTAGGGGTGGGGGAGGAGGAGGGGTTGGAGGGGGGAGGATCGGGGGAAGCAGGGAGAGTGACGTCCCTGGTTCAATCTCAGGAGCGGATCTCTGAGCAGCTGACACTTGTCACCGACCGATTGGACGAGCTGCTCTCGAGATTGGACCTTGTTTCGGCCGGATCAGCGGGGTCTGGGAGCGGGAATGGGGGTGTGGCAGGGAATGGTGGCAGCAGCAACATCCAATTGAGTCCTGCCACGTCAGCATTGACCAGCCAGCTGGTGTCGGGGGGGAATGGGATGTTGGGAGGGAGGAACGGGAGTAGAGGCGAGCTGGCAGGGCCGATTGATATAGGGTCAGGGAATGGGGGGGAGAGGAGGAATGGAGGAGGGGGTGGTGGGGGTGGAGGAGGAGGGAGTGGTGGTAAGGGTGGGAGTGGTGGGGGTGGCAGGCTCACTCCTGTTTCTGCTGCTGCTGCTGGGGGCGGTGTGATGGGCCTGGTGAATGGTGCTGCAGTGGGTGTGAGTGGTAACAGTCAGTGTTACGATGTGAATGCGGTGAATGGGGTTGGGAGCGGTGCAGAGGGGCGAGGGTCAGCAGCACCAGGATCAGCAGCAGCAGCTTTGGTGGTGGAAGTGAAGGAGATCGCCAGCAACCAAAGAAGGCTCGCATCTGAGGTGAGGGGTTCAGCCTGGCGTTACTCTGACAGGATGTGGCGGGCTCAGCCTGATGTTGCTCTGACTTAGTGGCATTTGACTCGACTCTAAGGTGCCGGTGGTACAAGTGAAGGAGATTGTCAGCAGCCAAAGAAGGCTCGCATCTGAGGTGAGGGGGAGTGATGAGGGGTTCTGCCTGGCATTCTGCTGACTTGGTGACTTTGAGTTGACTCAGAAGCGCTGGTTCTGGAAGTGAAGGAGATTGCCAGCAGCCAAAGAATGATTGCATCTGAGGTGAGGGGTCAGGCCTTGGTTCGGTCTGATCTGAGGTGATGGTTCAGGGATTTCAGGTGGCACGGTTGGTTTGTTTGTTTGTTTTTGTTTTTGTTCTGCTCCCCTGCATTGCCACTGGATTGTGCGGTTTATTCCCACTCGGGCCTCACCTACTCAAATTCCTGTGCTCGTATGTCTTCGTCCCCTTCCCCCACCCACCCTTCCCTCCTCCATCCTCCTCCTTTCCCTAAATTTCTGACCGTAGTCTCTGTTTCTTCCCCCCCCCCTCTTCCAACCAATATCAAAATTCCAGCTCGATTCGTTGGGTCGCCTCCTTCGGGACTCACTAGACTCTGACGGTTCCTCCTCCGCTCGCTTCCGCTCCTCTCACCCCCACCTTTCGCACTACTCGCTCTCATCTTCCTCCGCCTCTGGATGGTCCTTATCTCGAGCAGCAACAGGCATTGCGCTGCCAGCTATTGCTGCTTGTGCCGTTGGGGTGGGGGTGGCTGTGCTGGTGGGAGTGCGGCGGTCAGGTTAGGCTCGAGAAAGAAGTAATGCACACTCCCACACACTACACCCATTCATGTCATGCATGGGGTAACACACCAATACCGTATATGTATTCAATCAATGTGCCATGGATGCACATGACAGGACAAGGATTCGGATCTGTAAATGCTCATGCACTTTTATTCAGGTTTGTCCCCATCCATTACCATGTATCCGTGCTCTATGCACCCATAACCACATGGCATTAATTCAAGAACCATATTCATGGTGAACTATTGGAAGCACATTTCTAGTTCCTTGACTGCTGCGGTGCAGGGGCAAGCACATCTGGTTCTGCATTGCTGTTGTATAGCCTTACACTTGACACTTCTTTCAATCTCACATCCCCTACCTTGTTATAATTGTCATGGTGCAGAAACATTTCCTAGCGCGGATATCGGCAGCAATTGACCAAATGAGATTCAATCAGAATCGACTGACCACGAAACCGAACTGACAAACCGCCAATCTTGACAGCATGACAGCATAAACCTTTTGTTCAGTGGTCATTTGAAACCTCTTTGAACCGAGCTTTCCTCCTAGCTACCGAGAGTAACCGACTCTCCCGGCTTTCTTCCCAATCCAGTTCACTACACCAACTGATGACCGACAGGCTCCGGTAAACAAAACGAAGGGCTATTTCCTGGCCGCTCAAACACGCAACCTCGCTGTCTGTAACTGCCGCCTGTATAACTTACGTATTTCTCCTACCCGCATGCAAGCTGCATCTTTCAGAGTCAGATTGAACGCACGTCAAGATTGAAGCTAGTAACGTACGAGGAAGTAAACTTGCATGTACAATCGGTCCTGTCGTGGCCATCCATAATAGCTTATCGGTGTTCAGTAACCGATCCACGCGCGATAGCTGATCAGCAGTTGCTACCAGCGAGTCAGTGACGCTACCTTATCAAGTAGGGATACTTCTTACTTACCACCGACAGACCGACCAACCAACGCCTGCCGGCACTCCGCGCGGACTCCGCGCGGACTCCACGCGGACCCCGCGGGACCTGGAGACCCTACCCCCCGACGCACGGGCAAACTTCTGCTTGAAGCACGAATTTTGATCGCATTCTCATTTTCCGCGGTACTTCCGGTCACCCATTTCCGCGGGTCCGATTCATTCAAGTCCACTGCGGGAATTAGTAGTCCTTTTCTCCAGACGCCTGCACGGTGGAAAGCGACCAGACTCGAGCCCTTCTTGCGGGTCGCCATTTTTCCGCAGCGTTATTCGCGGAATCTTTGCATTACATCCACCACCGTCCGCACAATACTCGCGTATCAAGAGACGTCCGAAAAGTGTTTTTATCAATAGAATCGCGGAAATCGACGGCGGTATTCAACGCTCCGAAATCCTTGAGTCGTGAAACTCCAGTGCTGCCGGCCATGGCCGCGAATCGCGGCGACGCGTCAATGGTCACTCGCAAGCTGATGCATGCTCTCGCGCTGCTGTTCCTCGCGCTCGCAGTTGCGACGGCGGCAACTCCGAGGCTGCTCGCCACGGCCGCCGCTCGTCCGCCCAGCCCCGATAGTGAGTTACTAGTAACCGTTCGGAGGCGCTGCGCTGAGAGGTAGCATCACTGCTGCGCTGTCAGCTTATGAGGCGTCTCATAAGACGGCCGCCGCTGCTGCTCCGCCCAGCCCCAACAGTGAGTTACTAACCGTTCGGAGGCACCGAGGGATGCACTGAGAAGCAGCAATTTTTTTTTTTTTTTTTTTTTTGTCGACTCAGAAATCCGAGGCTGTTGGTGCGACCGCCGCTGCAGTTCCGCCCGGCCCCGATAGAGAGTTACTAACCGTTCGGAGGTGCTGAGGGATGCAGCGAGAAACAGCAATCCCGCTGTGCTGCCAGGTTGGGGGAACGCCATAGATCTTATCCCTGCGACCTGCTCCTCTTCCCGGCTCCTCTGCCCCCTCCTTCACGTCTTGCGGTGCAACGGGGTTGCTGTTAGTGCTGGGGGATGTGCTGAGAGGCAGCAATCCTGCTGCGCTGAGAGGCAGCAATCCTGCTGCGCTGAGAGGCAGCAATCCTGCTGTGCTGAGAGGCAGCAATCCTGCTGTGCTGAGAGGCAGCAATCCTGCTGTGCTGAGAGGCAGCAATCCTGCTGTGCTGAGAGGCAGCAATCCTGCTGTGCTGAGAGGCAGCAATCCTGCCAGGTTGGGAGCCCAGGGACGCACTGAGAGGCAGCAAATCAAACCCGCTGTGCTGCCAGGATGGGCGAACGCCACGGATGCCATCCCTGCGATCCCCCCTCCTCTTTCCCGGCCCCTCTGCCCCCCTCCCTACTACTTCCTCGTTTGCAGAGGCCGTGCTGTTAGCGCTGAGGGACGCGTTGAGGCACGGCAACCCCGGTGCGTTGCCAGGATGGGTGCTTGTCATGAATAACCCTGACCCTCCTATACCTATTCCCCCTGTCCCCTCTCTCTCACCCCTCCCTCCCCCTCTTCTTCCTCTTTCGCAGAAGCCGCGCTGTTGGCGCTGAGGGACGCGCTGAGAAAAGGCTACCTCGCTGCGCTGCCAATCTTGCTGCGCTGCCGGGATGGGTGAATGCGGATCCGTGCGACCCCCCCTCTTCCCACTCCCCAAGCCTGCCTCTTCTCTCTTCCTCTTCTTCCGGTGCAGAGGCCGCGCTGTTGGTGCTGAGGGACGCGCTGAGAAAAAGCTACCCCGGTGCGCTGCCCGGATGGGTGAATGCGGATCCGTGCGACAACTCGTGGACCCCTCGCATCAAATGCAACAGTGCTGGACGCGTTATACGCCTGTGAGATGCTGGACGCGTTATAAGCATGTGAGCGACGCGCTGTAAGCCTGTGAGCTGCTGGACGCGTTATAAGCATGTGACTTGCTGCGTTATAAGCATGAGCGCAGCTCATCAAATGTCCTATTTCAGGGAAGCACTTTTGGGGCGCATCAAAAGCTCCCAGCTCACTAATTGCCCCCATCCCCCCCCTTCCGTTGTGCAGCAATCTGGCGAATCAACTGCTGAAAGGGCCCATCCCATGGAAGCAGCTAGCTGCTCCAATAGCTCCCATTCCCCCACTTGCACCCATCCCCCCCCTTCCGTTGTGCAGCTACCTGGCGAATCAGCTGCTGAAAGGGCCCATCCCGGGGAAGCAGCTAGCTGCTCCAATAGCTCCCATTCCCCCACTTGCCCCCATCCCCCCCCGTCCGTTGTGCAGCTACCTGGCGAATCAACTGCTGAAAGGGCCCATCCCAGGGAAGCAGTTGGCTGCTCTGGCTGGGCTTCAACGCCTGTGAGTGCATGGGGGAAAGGGGGAAGAGGCGGAGGGGGGGCAGGGAAGGGGAAGGGGGCGGAAAGGAGGAAGGGGATGGGGGGGCGGAAAGGAGGAAGGGCCCATCCGGACAAGGGACAAGGGACAAGGGACAAGGGACAAGGGACAAGGGACAAGGGACAAGGGACAAGGGACAAGGGACAAGGGACAAGGGACAAGGGACAAGGGACGGGGGACGGGGGACGGGGGACGGGGGACGGGGGACGGGGGACGGGGGACGGGGGACGGGGGACGGGGGACGGGGGACGGGGGACGGGGGAAGGGAGGGGGACAGGGGGACAGGGGGACGGGGGACGGGGGACAGGGGGACGGGGGGACGGGGGACAGGGGGACGGGGGACGGGGGGACGGGGGACAGGGGGACGGGGGACAGGGGGACAGGGGGACAGGGGGACGGGGGACAGGGGGACAGGGACAGGGGGACAGGGACAGGGGGACAGGGACAGGGGGACAGGGACAGGGGGACAGGGACAGGGGGAAAGGGACAGGGGGAAAGGGACAGGGGGAAAGGGACAGGGGGAAAGGGACAGGGGGAAAGGGACAGGGGGAAAGGGACAGGGGGAAAGGGACAGGGGGAAAGGGACAGGGGGAAAGGGACAGGGGGAAGGGGCGGAGGGGGAGGGGAAGGGGCACGGTCAGAGGGAAATGGCTGGGAGTATCGGATGGATTTAGAAAAAAAAAAAGGTTCCTATCCTCTCAGTTCCTTTTCGTCGCCCCTCACGCAATGTGCAGCGACATGGGGTACAACGCACTCACAGGGCCCATCCCTAAGGAGACTTGTGAGGCATCTCACTTATCCATTTCCTGCGTTATTCTCCCCATCTGTCACGATCCTGTTGGCACGTGCAGAGACATGGGATACAACGCACTGACAGGGCCCATCCCACAGGAGCTCTCAGCCCTCTCCAGCCTCACCTTCCTGTGAGCCTTCTTTCAACCCCACTCACCTGTCCGTCCCTCTGCTGCTTGCTTTCCGATGAGTCTTAAAAGTGTAGGTGTTTCACGCACTCACAGGGCCCATCCCCCACAGTAGCGCCCAGCCCTCTCCAACCTCACCTTCCTGTGAGTCGCGCCAAACGTTGCCGTCCACCCTTTGATCCTCACCTACTTGTGAGTCGACATGACTGACACCTATGTCGCAACCCTACCCGAGCATCGATTCCAACATAGCATGAGAACCATTTTTTTTCTTCTTCTTCTGTATTTTCTGTTAGAAAATTCTCAAAATGCATAGCTTGACACCCACGCGCCTGTTCGGTGTGGCACTTCCAACCTCATAAGCTGTCCGCCCTTCCAACCTCACGCACTTATGGGTTACTCTGCGGCTTGCTTGCTGACAATTCTTGAGACGTCTCGAAAGAGAGTTTCGAGTCATTCATTCACACAGCTTACTTGCTAGTCCCCTTCCCCTCTCCCATTCCCTTTTCCCCACTTTATTTATCCCTCCCTCTCCGTCTCCCTCCCTCCCTCCCTCCCTCCCTCCCTCCCTCCCTCCCTCCCTCCCTCCCTCCCTCCCTCCCTCCCTCCCTCCCTCACTCCCTCCCTCCCTCCCTCCCTCCCTCCCTCCCTCCCTCCCTCCCTCCCTCCCTCCCTCCCTCCCTCCCTCCCTCCCTCCCTCCCTCCCTCCCTCCCTCCCTCCCTCCCTCCCTCCCTTCCTCCCACCCCTTCAGGTCGTTAGAGGCCAATAAATTGAAGGGATCAGTTCCCGAGTGGCTGGGACAACGACTCTTCAAGCTAGTGAACGTGTGAGTTTTCTTACTGTAAGTCAGCATGTACGGTACATTGCTTAGTTAGTGCGGTTACAGAGTCAACTCTTGGTTACAGAGTCAACTTTTGGTTACAGAGTCAACTTTTGGTTACAGAGTCAACTTTTGGTTACAGAGTCAACTTTTGGTTACAAAGTCAACTTTTGGCTACAGAGTCAACTTTTGGCCCGCCCCTCGTTTTCCTAGTTGATTGACTGGCTCTCTTCACGCCTCCACACGTCTCTCTTTCTCCTCGTGCCTCCGCACATCCTTTTCTCTCCCCATGTGGTTCAGCCATCTCGCCAGCAACCTTCTCAGTGGCACTCTGCCAAGCACCCTCGGGGGGAGACCGCACGTCCCTCCTCATACCTCCACACGCCCCTCTCTCCTCATACCTCCACACGCCCCTCTCTCCTCATACCTCCACATGCCCCTCTCTCCTCATGTCCTTTTCTCTCCCCACGTGTTGCAGCCATCTCGCCAGCAACCTTCTCAGTGGCCCTCTGCCAAGCACGCTGGGGGGTCTCAAGAACTTGCAGTCGCTGTGAGATGTTGTTTTCCTCCTCCTTGTCGTCGTTCTCGTATGAAATCCGCGTGTAGTGAGGTGCATTTTGAGGCGCCTCAAAATGCACCACACTGGGGGGTCTCAAGAACTTGCAGTCGCTGTGAGATGTTGTTGTTCTCCTCCTCCTCGTTGTCATCGTTCTCGTTTTTGTTCTCGTTGTCGTTGTTTTTGTGGGGGGCTAGGTGGGTATGCAAGAATCTGGCTCATGTCGAATCAACGTGCCTGCCTCCCTGTCCCTCACAATAATCTATTTGTTTGATCTCATGCCTCCCTCCCTCACTTTCCTCACTGCTCCCATCGTCTCCTCACTCCAAATCTCCCTCCCTCATATCAGCATATGCCTCACTCCATGCCTCCGTCAATTCCCCCTCGCTGCACATGCCTCCCCACTCGCTCCCCCTCCCAGTGACCTCGGCAGCAACGGCCTCTCAGGCCAGCTGCCGTCCACCCTGCTGCCAGACGGAGCACTCATCGCCGGGTCTCTTGATGCGTGCTTCACTTCGTTACCCACACATGCCCCTCCCTCCCTCCCATTGGCTTCGGCAGCAACCGCCTCTCAGGCCAGCTGCCGTCCACCCTACAGCACTGCCGGCTATAGAAGCACTCCTCCGCACTCCATGTCTTCCCCTTGCCTCACTCCATTCCGTCCCTCCCAGTGACCTTGACAGCAACCGCCTCTCAGGCCAGCTGCCGTCCACCCTCCAGCACTGCTGTCTGTTAGAGCACTCGTTGCCATATCCCTCCCTCGTCTTCCCTCTTGCCTTACCCACCACGCCTCCCCCTCCCAGTGACCTTGGCAGCAACCGCCTCACAGGCCAGCTGCCGTCCACCCTACAGCGCTGCTGGCTCTTGAAGTACTTGTGAGTTGCCCACAATAGAACTGCTCCCCTCGTACCTTTTCCTCAGAGAAACGTGTGCTTCGCTGTCCCTTCCTCCCTGCCCATGAGCACACATTACTCACATTGCACTGTGCGCTGCCGGCTCTTGAAGCAGCTGTGAGTTGTCCACCTCCCTTTCCTCCTCTGTCCCTTCCACCAGATCCATCCCAGCCAATCAAAGCACGTCACACTGCTCCCTCTTGCCCCCGCCCCCAGAGCACACATTGCACACGATGCTCACATCACATCGCTCCATTTCCTTCCCTCCACCGTCCATGCTCCTCCTCCCTCTTCATCCCCTCACTCTTTCCCTTGCACCAGGTCCGTCCCCAGGGCCTTCCAAGCCTCCCACGTGTGATCAGTCGGTTTTTGAGTCGACTCAAAAACCGTCCACCCTCCATGCTCCTCCTCCCTCTTCATCCCCTCACTCTTTCGCTTGCACCAGGCCCCGTCCCCAGGACTTTCCAAGCCTCCCACCCAATGCGCTCTTAGGAGACTTCTGAGTCGACTCAAAAGTCACCTCTGCATCCTCTCACTATTTCGCTTGCACCAGGCCCGGTCCCCAGGGCCTTCCAAGCCTTTCACCCAATGCACTCTTAGGACACTTTTTGAGTCGACTCAAAAGTCACCTCTTCATCCCCTCTCCATCCCGCCCATCCTCCATTTTACCAGGACCGTCCCACCCAATGCGCTCTTAGGACCGGTCCCAGGGTGGCTTGGAAGCCCCTTCGTCCCATCCACCATCCATCTCCCTCATCCTCCCCCTCCTTTCCACTATCTCCCCCCTCCCTGCCCTCCTCTTTCCCCATCACCAGATCCGTCCCAGCCAATCAGCTCTCAGGACCGGTCCCAGGTTGGCTTGGAAGCCTCAAGCAGTTACAAGTGCTGTAAGCAAAACACTTAGCGAAATCCGTTGTGAGCTTTGAGACGTTGCACAACCAGGGCGGCTTCGAAGCCTCAAGAAGCTGAGAGTTTCTGTAAGGAGGATGCTTAGTTGAAATCGATGCGATTTTTTAGACGTGTCAAATCCAGAATGGCTTGGAAGTAGCCTCAAGCTTCTGAGACTGCTGTAAGCATGTCGCTTAACTAAAAGAAGTGCGTTTCCTCCTTGCCGTGTCCGTTTCACAGAGCAATGCCTCACCTGAACCAGTTTTGAATCTTTTCTCCTCTCCTCACCTCTCCTATCCTCTCCTCTCCTATCCTCTCCTCCTCCCTTCCCCTCCGCTCTCCCCTCCTCGCCCTCTCTCAGAGAGCTGTTCTTATACCGGCTGTCCGGCCCTATCCCCCCCAATGAGGCCGGTGCCTCTGATTTTTGAGGCGCCTCAAAAATTGCCTCTGTCCGGCTTCACTCCTCCTCTCCTCCCTCGCTACCCTTTCCTTTCCCCCCCTGTCCTCTCCCCTCCTCCTCCTCCTCTCCTCTTTTCTCTCAAAGAGCTCTACTCGAACCGCCTGCCCGACCTTACTATTCCACCCTGCTTAGATCCTTCTCTCCTTACCTCTCTCCCCCTCTATCAGTAATCTCTACTCCAACCGGCTGTCCGGCCGTATTCCCCCCAGTCTTGGGGGGTCCTTCTCCCTTCTCGTAACCCTCTCTCCTTCCCCCTACTTCCCCTCTCCCCCTCTCCCCCTCTCCCTCTCTCCCCCTCTCCCCCTCCCTCAGTGAACTCTACTCGAACCTCCTTTCCGGCCGTATTCCCCCCAGCCTGGCCGGTGCCACTGCTCTGGAATCAATGTGAGTCGATGCGAGTCAATGGGAGTCAATGCGAGTCAATGCGAGTCAATGCGAGTCAATGGGAGTCAATGCGAGTCAATGCGAGTCAATGGGAGTCAATGCGAGTCAATGGGAGTGCGATGCGTGATAAACTTGTCTGCTGCATCAATGAGTGCCAGTCAATGTGAGTCAACAAGAGTCAGCGCAATTCAATGCGAGTCAATGCGAGTCAATGCGAGTCAATGCGAGTCAATGCGAGTCAATGCGAGTCAATGCGAGTCAATGCGAGTCAGTGACACCACACTCTCTGCCGGGTCCCATTCCATCCCTTTGCATTAAGGTGTTTTTTGAGGCGCCTAAAAAAATACCTCCCACCGACTCTCAGGTCCCATCCATTTCAGGTCCCTTCCCCCACAGAGCAATAGACGTCAATCGCCTCTCCGGCCCCATCCCATCCCACCACTCAAAAACCTTTCCACCCGTGGTTGGGTTGGGTGCGCACAGTCTCACTCTCGTGCCATCCCCCATGCCCATTCCAAATCTCCCCCCTCCTCGTCCCACAGAGCACTAGATGACAATCGCCTCTCGGGTCCCCTCCCACCAGCACTTGGGAACCTTCCCAATCTTGTCGCCCTGTAGGCTTCAGGGCGAATTTCATGGTTTCAAATTTCAGGGCTTTACGGTATTTTGGGGGTGTTGGGACTGCTGGTTTCAGGTATAGGGTAGTGGAGTGCCCAACACGCAGAGAGGAGCAGAAGAAAACAGCAGTCTCATTGGGGGTGTTGGGACTGCTGGTTTCAGGTATATGGCAGTGGAGTGCCCAACACCCCCAAGCGGAGTGCCATTAGGCTCTCTGCTTGGGTTTAGGGCAGTGGTGGTGGTGCTGTTTTCTTCGCTCCTCTCTGCGTGGTGGTGGTGCTCCTCTCTCTCTTCTAGGGCAAGCGCTCCACTGTTGAGGGCGAGGCGAGCCCTTCTGAGGGCAAGCAGTTTTTTGGGGCAAGCAGTTTTTTGGGGCAAGCACGTTAGAGGCGACTTTTGAGTCGACTAAAAAAAGAGATCACTTTTGAGGGCAGCAAGCACCTTTGAGTCGCCTCAAAAGAAGCCTGTACTCACTAGCAGCTCCCTAGGGGACCTCATTCCTGTTCTGGGTGACTGAGTCAGCTCAAGAATCGTCTTTTTAGTCGACTCAAGATGGTTCTTGAGTCAACTAAGAACAAAACAATGCTGGTGGCGTCTACTCCTCCTGGGTTTACGACAGTGCTGCTGTTTGCCTCGCTGTGCCTCTGCCTTTACTCGCAAGCAACTTCCAGGAAGGAAAGAGCCCTTTCCTGCCAGCTTCAATGGCCCTCTCTCTCCCGTGATACCTCTCACTCCCCCGTCTCGTCGCTCTCTCGTGCCCTCTCATCCCACCATCTGCCACATTCTCTCTCGCACCCACGGTTTGTCTCTCTTGCGAGCAACTCCCTGGAAGGCCCCATTCCCGCCAGCTTCAGTTGTCCTTCAATACCCTGTTGCGCCTATCCCCCGCCTGTGCTCTCTCTCATCCCACCATCTGCCCCATGCTCCCTCCCCTCCCAGCTATGCTGCAAGAAACTCCCTGGAAGGCCCCATCCCTGCCAGTTTCAAACGCCTCAAGAGCCTCATGTACCTGTGAGTGGGTGGGTGAATGTTTTTGGCTTGTATATGGCCAACATTCCAACAGCGCACCACAACACTCGCAAGCAACTCCCTGGAAAGACCCATCCCGGCCAGCTTCAAACGCCTCAAGAGCCTCATGTACCTGTGAGTGGATCGGTTTTTCACTAAATGCTTCAACCCTGAACCACCCTGAGCTTTTTATGCGCCTATAAAGCAGCTTCAAACGCCTCAAGAGCCTCATGTACCTGTGAGTGGATCGGTTTTTCACTAAATGCTTCAACCCTGAACCACCCTGAGCTTTTTATGCGCCTATAAAGCAGCTTCAAACGCCTCAAGAGCCTCATGTACCTGTGAGTGGGTGGGGGGGGGGTTGGTCGCTCATATGTGCCCTTGTACCTTATGCACCAACAGCACATCACAGCACTCACTCGCAACATGAGTCACAACAGGGGCATCAACGGATCTATCCCAGCCTTCCTGGGAAAGCTTTGGCTGCTTCAGCCTCTGTGGGAGTGAGAGAGTCGACCAATCGAGTCTCTTTCTTCTCTCTGCCCCTTCTCGCCCTCGCCCGTGCACCTGCAGCGACCTGATTTTCAACAGGGGCATCAACGGATCCGTCCCAGCCTTCCTCACCCCTCATTCATTCCCTTCCCCGCTCTCCCCTTCTCTACCCTCACCCCGCACTGTACCTGCAGCGACCTGAGTTACAACAGGGGCATCAACGGATCCGTCCCAGCTTCCTTCCTATTCTACCAGCCCTCCCCCTCTCTCCCCTCCCTCTCTTTCCTCCTCTTTCCCCCTCCATCCCTCGCCATCGCTTTCACACCTGCAGCGACCTGAGTTACAACAAGGGAATCAACGGATCCGTCCCAGCTTCCTTCCTATTCTACCAGCCCTCCCCCTCTCTCCCCTCCCTCTCTTTCCTCCTCTTTCCCCCTCCCTCCCTCGCCATCGCTTTCACACCTGCAGCGACCTGAGTTACAACAAGGGAATCAACGGATCCGTCCCAGCTTCCTTCCTATTCTACCAGCCCTCCCCCTCTCTCCCCTCCCTCTCTTTCCTCCTCTTTCCCCCTCCCTCCCTCGCCATCGCTTTCACACCTGCAGCGACCTGAGTTACAACAAGGGAATCAACGGATCCGTCCCAGCCTTCCTGGGAAACCTCTGGCTGCTGGAGTCCCTGTGAGTGGGGAGGGGAAGGGTTGGGAATTGGACTTGCCTGTGGGTGCGAAACGGTTGGGAGGACTTGCGGCCCTAGGTGTGTGTTAATGTATCCTGCAACCTGCTTTCCTCACTCTTACCGACCTCCTCCCCCCCCCTGCCCCATCCCTCCATCTCTTCACCCTCAGCCTCCTCCTTGAGCTCCATGTCCCCGCGTGTAGAAAAAGTACCGTGTGACGTTATACCGAGTTGACTTTTGAGTTGACTCAAGTCAACTCCGTCTCTTCTCCCTCAACCTCCCCCTTGAGCTCCATGTCCCCAGCAGCCAACCATATCCTCTTGTCACGTGTATGAAGTAATGTTTTGAGACGTCGCAAAACATTACTTCATAAAAGGAGCTCCATCCCCCCGCCAGCCAACCATATCCTCTTGTCTTCCATCCCCCCTTTTCTTTTGAGTCGACTCAAAACTGCTTTTGAGTCGGCTTTTGAGTCGACTCAAAACCATCCCCCCGCCAGCCAACCATATCCTCTTGTCTTCCATCCCCCCTTTTCCTTTTTCTTTTCCCTCCTTTCCTCTTTGTCAGGGCCATGGAGCATTGCAGCCTCACAGGCCCCATCCCCCCGTCTCTAGGCACGCTCAACCTCCTCGTGGAGATTTTCCTCTCCTTCCCCCCCTGTTCTCTCCCCCCCTGTTCTCTCCCCCCCTGTTCTCTCCCCCCCTGTTCTCTCCCCCCCTGTTCCCTCCCCTCCTTCCCCCACCCGCCTCCTCCTCCCTGTCAGGGCCATGGAGCATTGCAACCTCTCAGGCCCCATCCCGCCCTCTCTAGGCATGCTCAACCTCCTCGTTGAGATCTTCCTCGACGGAAACCACCTCTTTGGCCGCATCCCACCCGCTTGCCAACCGCATTCCCTCTTGCCTGCCATTCTCTCCCCCTCTTCCCCCCTCCCCCCATTCCGCTCTGTCAGAGCCATGGAGCACTGCAATCTCACGGGCCAAATCCCACCGTCTCTAGGCACGCTCGTCTTCCTCGTTGAGATCTTCCTCGACGGAAACCGCCTCTCCGGCCGCATCCCAGCCACTCTCGGCAGTCTTGAGTCCCTAAACAAGCTCTATCTCAACCGCAACCGCCTCACCGGGAGCATCCCGGCACAGCTGTGCTACCTTTCATACGCATACGAGCTCAACCTGGGTCACAACGAGCTCAATGGATCGATCCCTGCCTGCCTGCCTGCCCTGCCGCGCCTGACACTGCTGTGAGTGAGAATCTAAGTTCTCGCCTCAACAGGCAGTCTAGAGTCCCTCAACAAGCTCTTTCTCAACCGCAACCGCCTCACTGGGAGCATCCCGGCACAGCTGTGCCACCTGCACTATATCTATGACCTTAACCTGGGTCATAATGAGCTCAATGGATCGATCCCGGCGTGCCTGCCTGCCCTGCCATGGCTGACACTGCTGTAAGTAAGAGTCTCTTCTCTCGGCAGCACAGCATCCCAGCACAGCTGTGTCACCTGCACTATGCATACGAGCTCAACCTGGGTCACAACGAGCTGAATGGGTCTATCCCGGCATGTTTACCTGCCCTGCCACGCCTGACACTGCTGTGAGTGAGAATCTGACCTTGGGCTCAACAGGCAGTCAGTCTAGAGCCGCTCAACAAGCTTTATCTCATCTCAGCTGCAACCGCCTCACTGGGAGCATCCCGGCACAGCTGTGCCGCCTGGCTAATAGCTACGAGCTCAACCTGGCTAATAGCTACGAGCTCAACCTGGCTAATAGCTACGAGCTCAACCTGGCTAATAGCTACGAGCTCAACCTGGCTAATAGCTACGAGCTCAACCTCTCCCATCTCCCCCACCCCTCTCCCACCTTCCCGCCCCTCCCATTGCATCAGCGACGTCTCTCACAACCACCTCACGGGCCCTCGTTCTCCCATCCTGACTCACTGCCTTTCGTCTTCCGACTCAATGCTCTCGCTTCATCCCCCCTTCTCCCTCACCTTTCCCTGCTCTTGTCTCCCATCTCCCCCTTCCCCCTCCCCTCCCAACGGCAACAGCGACGTCTCTCACAACCACCTCACGGGCCCACTCCCTCCGATCGCGACTCACCGCTTTCTCTGCTCTTCCTTCTCCTTCCCGCCCCTCCCAACGGCAACAGCGACGTCTCCCACAACCACCTCACGGGCAAACTCCCTCCCATTCCAAAGAAATCCAATCTCCGCTTCTTGTGAGTTGCCCCGTCATGCCACTGTCTATAGACCGTCCCAAAGGCCTCTGAAGCTCAAGGGTCTCAAAGTCACCTCAAGAACCCGCTCCCTTCCATCCCTGACCAATCAAATCTCCGCTTCATGTGAGTTCCCCTGCCAAGCATCTCAAAAGCCTTAAGGCTAAAGCCTTGAATTTCCTTCAAGTTTTAAAGCCTTAAAGGTTCAAGGGTCTCAGAAGTCATCTCGCGGGCCAGCTCCCTCCCATACAGTGCCATGACATATGAAATGATATCCTGTACACTTACCCCATTCCCCCCATGCGGGTAACTTCCTCAATAGTGCACCCAACCAGGCCTGCCCTACTTCTGAAGCACCTCAAGAATCTGTCATGCCGTGCCATGACATGCTATCACAAATGAGATCCCATGCGTGAACCCCGATCCCCCCGTGCAGGTATGCGGGTAACTGTCTCGACCATGCAGCCAACCAGGCCTGCCCTCCCAAATCCTCCTCACCGGTTGCTACTCCCTAGGCTTCTCCCTCCTCTACCGCCTCCCCGTCTCCCTCCTCTGCTCCCTCTGCTCCCCCCTCTGCTCCCCCCTCTGCTCCCCCCTCTGCTCCCCCCTCTGCTCCCCCCTCTGCTCCCCCCTCTGCTCCCCGCTCTGCTACCTCTTCTCCCTCCTCTTCACCCCCCTCATCTCCTCCCTCTGCTCCCTCTGCTCCCCCCTCTGCCCCCTCCTCCGCTCCCCCATCAAGCAGCCTTGCTCCTGCCTCCTCCTCTGCTCCTGCCTCCTCTTCCCCTGCCGCTCCCTCCTCTGCTCCCTCTTCTGCTCCCTCCTCTTCGCCCTCCCCTACTCCCGCTTCCTTTTCTGGCCCCTCTCCTCCATCCACATCAGCACCGTCCACGTCAGCACCGTCCACATCAGCACCGGTGCCTGCCTCTCAGCAAAGCAGTGTACCATCAGCCAATGGCACGCAGCAGCAGCAGGGAACCCCACCAGGGTCTGGCAAAGCGGCTTTAACCAATCAAATAATTCAAGTGGTTCATACAACAGTAGCTGTGTGCTTTGCTGTGCTACTTGTGTTACCGCGGTAACAATTTCAGCTCCTGCTGCAGCAACAGCAGTAGCAGCAGTGTTTCTTACCAGCAAACCGGCTTCAAGCAATGGATGCATTCAAGTTGTTCACACAGCTGTCGCTTTGTGTTTTGCTGCTGTGCTTGTGTTACCATGGTGACCATGTGTGTTCCTGCTGCAGCAGCAAGAGAGTGACTACCAGCGTAAAGTGAAGTCATGCTGTTTATGCACCTTTTGGATGTGGCTGTCTATTGCTGCACTGGGCTGTGGCTGTGTGCTTCACAGGGTCGTCGCTAGGATTTGAGGGCGCCTGATGGATCAGACGGGCCCGAAGGTCCCGTCTGATCCATATGATTCTGTTTTTTACCGTGTCTGATGTATCAGATATTTTCGAAATGCAAGTCTGACGCAATTGATTCGGACTAGACCAGTCACAGCAGAATCACCCCCTCACAGCAAACTCGGATCGTCACAGCAGATTCACCGTCACCCTGACACAGCAGATTCGTCCCGTAACAACAATTTCGCCCCTGACACAGCAGATTCGCCCCCTGACACTAACAGATTCGCCCCCTGACACTAACAGATTCGCCTCCTGACGCATCAGATTCGCCCATTCACAACTCGAATCCCATATTCACCCCCACATAGTTGGATTCGGTATCAGACGAAACAAAAACTAGAACCTGATTGATCAGATAAACTCAAAAACTACTCCTTATCAATCAGAAATTACAAAAACAAATTTCTGAAAAAATCAGATGAACTCTAAAAACTCGATCTGAATATAAGACAAACAGACAGAAAATTTCTGCTAGCGACGACCCTGGTGCTTCACTGCTGTGCTACTTGCGTTACCGTCAGGGACGTCGCTAGGATCTGAGGCAGCCTGATGGAGCAGACGGGCCCTTCGGGCCCGTCTGCTTCATCAGTGGGCTGAGTGATGCCCTGTCTGGTGGATCAGGATTTTCCAAAATCTCTGTCTGATCTGTCAGATCTTAAAGCACTGGCTTGTCTGATTTTTATTTTTTTTGGGTTGCATTGCATCAACTCTAGCAGAAGTTAAAGCTTCATCAATACTACGGTAAAAGAACTATCAAATAAAAAATTATGTAACTACTGGTGAGGTGTTATTACACTACAAATTACATCTACTCTAGTCTAGTCTACTCAGTGTCAGACTCTACTATCGTGGCGCGGACATCAAGCCCATTGTCATCATCACTGTCGTCCGACACTGCTACAGCTGCACGTGGTTTGCCCTTCTTAGAGGTCCTCCGCCTGACCACGTCCTCCTCATCATCTTCGTCTCCATTGGAGGCAGCAGCTGACGTTCCTCTCTCGGCCTTCCGCTTTGGGGCTCTCTCTGGAGTGTTCTTGGTCGTCACTTCCTTAGCAGGGCGCCTCTTCTTTGCCCCCCTCCAAGCAGCCACCACGTCCTCCCAGTTCGGCTCGTACTGCAGGAGCGATACCGACATCAGGTCCGCCAGGCGTGTGTTGCACAGATTCCCGCGGAGCCACGATTTGATGATGTTTTGCCTCGAGAAGCCGCGCTCGCACTCGACGGTGCTCAGCGGCAGCACGGCGAGGGCGATCCAGATGCGGACCATGTTGGGGTAGCTCGTCTCCCAGTCGTCGCTGCGCAACATGTGCTTGAGGCCGGCGTGGAAGTGTCAGAGTATTATAGCTGATGCATGTTTGTAGGCTATAGTGGGGTAGCACATATGGGGTACAGCTTTCTAGGGTTGTATTTCTACCCAACTCTGACTTAGTCATTTCATTCCTGTTTTCCTTGCTTCACATGGTATAGAGCGGGTCCTGCCTTAGGACCGTTTTTTTTAGGGCCCACCGAAGCGCGCCCCGAGGCGCGCCCTTTTTTTTAGCGACCCCTCGGGTCGCCTTTTCCCTCGCGGCCCCGCTGTCCCTCAGACGCGGCCCCGCCACCTCTCCTGATCGCGGCCCCGCCGCCTGCTTGATCGCGGCCCCGCCGCCTGCTTGACGCGGCCCCGCCGCCTCCCCTGACGCGGCCCCGCCGCCTCCCCTGAAGCGGCCCCGCCGCCTCCCCTGACGCGGCCCCGCCTCTACTGCCGCGGCCCCGCCGCCGCCTCTGACGGCCCCGCCGCTGCACCCTACGGCCCGCCGCTGCACCCTACGGCCCGCCGCCTCTGACGGCCCCGCCGCTGCACCCTCGGCCCGCCGCTGCTCCTGCCGGCCCGCCGCCTCACCTGACGGCCCCAAAACTGCTCCTGCCGGCTCGCCGCTGCTCCTGCCGGCCCGCCGCCTCACCTGACGGCCCCGCCGCTGCTCCTGCCGGCCCGCCGCTGCTCCTGCCGGCCCGCCGCTGCGCCTGCCGGCCCGCCGCTGCACCCAGCGGCCCGCCGCTTCACCTGACGGCCCCGCCGCTGCACCTGCCGGCCTGCCGCTGCACCCTACGGCCCGCCGCCTGCACCTGCCGGCCCACCGCTGCACCTGCCGGCCCGCCGCTGCACCTGCCGGCCCGCCGCTGCACCTGCCGGCCCGCCACTGCACCGTTCGACCCGCCGCTGCACCTGACGGCCCCGCCCCTGCATCGCCCGGGAGCCGAGCCGCCCAACGCCGAGCCGCCCGGGACCCGAGCCGCCCTGCCGCCGAGCCGCCCGGGAGCCGAGCCGCCCTGCACCCGAGCCGCCCAGCCGCCGAGCCGCCCGGGAGCCGAGCCGCCCTGCGCCCGAGCCGCCCAGCCGCCGAGCCGCCCGGGAGCCGAGCCGCTGTGCACCCGAGCCGCCCGGTCGCTGAGCCGCCTTTCTGCATAGCTGCACGACCTGCCCTGCCTGGTGAGCACAGTCCCACTGACACTGCGAGCTCTTTCCCTACTGCTTGCACTGCGTCGCTTTCGCCGCCATGGCTACCCCTAGTGTCCTAGCTTTTGACGCTGAGGGTCGCGCCATTGATTTTGAGGTCTGGTTAGACGACCTGCAGCTGTTCTTACAGTGCGACAGGGCTGACGACCTTTCTCTCTTTGACCTCACCTCTGGCGCCTCTCCTGCCCCTGCTGCTGATGCTGATCCCGCTGTCCGCTCTAAGTGGGCCACCCGCGATGCTGCTGCACGTCTTGCTGTGCGTCGCCACCTCCCTACCTCTGAGCGTGCGCACTTTAGTCAGTACAAGAGTGCTCAGACCTTGTACGACGCTGTAGTTGCGCGCTACTCCTCCCCTGCCACTGCTGCACTGAGCCGTCTCATGCTTCCCTACCTCTTTCCTGACCTCTCAGCCTTTCCCACTGTCGCTGACCTCATTACACACCTCCGCACTAGTGACACTCGCTACCGCGCCGCCCTTCCTGCTGATTTCTGCGCTAAGAACCCCCCCCCCCATGTACATCGCTCTCTACTACGTAGTCGCGCGCCTCCCTGACTCCCTTCGCGTCGTCAGGGACCACTTTCTCGCAGTCTGTCCCACCACCCTCACCGTCGACCTCCTCGAGAAGGCCCTCCTTGCAGCGGAGAAGAGCATAGTCGCTGTAGGTGCTTCTCGTGGTGACCCTCGCACCCCCATCTTTGAGGGGTGCTCTCCTTCCCCCTTGCTGCCCTCTGTTGCCTCTGCTGCTGCTGCCGACCTGCTTGGTCTTGAGTCGGTCGGCGCGGCGTCTGCCCCTAGTGGGAGACGTCGCTCCAGCAAGGGCAAGGGGGGCAAGGGCGCGGGTGGAGCTGGAGGGGGCGCTGGCGGTGGCGGCGGTGGCGGCGAAGGGAGTGGGGGTGGCGGCGGGACTAGTGGGGGAGGTGGTGGTGGTGGTGGCAGCAGTGGCGGAGACGGTGGTGGTGGTGCCAGCGGTGGTGGTGGAGGCGGTGGAGGCGGCAGCGGAGGAGGCGGTGGTGGTGGTGGAGGTGGAGCTGGTCGAGGTGGTACCCAGCAGCGTAGCGGCGGCGGTGGTGGCCAGCGCTCGCAGCGGCAGCAGCAGCAGCGCTCGCGGGACATCCCTCCGCCTCAGCAGCTTCGTGAGTGGTATGCTGGGCGTCAGAGGGGTGGGGGTACTGGTCCCTGCACCTACGTTCTTCGTTCCGGCGACCGCGCGGGTGAGCAGTGTGGGGGTGCCCACGCCACCCAGCGCTGCTTTGGCCGCCTGACGGACGCTTGGCGTCAGCAGTTCCCTGGGGCTAGTGAGATCCCTCGCTGGGATGAGCTTCTCAGGGCTGGTGTAGCGATCTTTGATCTTGATTTTGATGCTATCCTTGCTGCTATGTATGTTGTGGATTATAGTGAGGAGAATGAGGGTTACCGTTGTTTCCCGCCCGACCCGGGCATTGGTACTGCTGCGCTAGGTGCTTGTGAGGCTGCTGCTCTAGGTGCCAGTGCGTCTGTGCTCTCAGGTACTGGTGAGACTGCGCTCTCAGGTACTGCATCGTCCTCGTCCTCCCTCACTTTCACACTTGACTCCGGAGCTTCTCGCTCCTTCTTTCGAGACCGCACTACCCTTACGCCGCTCGGCCGGCCGGTTGCGGTCTCCCTTGCTGACCCCTCTGGGGGTCCTGTCCTGTCTCACTTCTCCACTGTCCTCCCGTGTCCGGCTGCCCCTTCGGGCACCCTGTCGGGTCTGTACCTTCCCTCGTTCTCTACGAACTTGGTGAGTGGAGCGGACCTGCACGATGTGGGGGTTCACCAGTTCACTCCTGCGAGTCAGCGGGTGACCCACTGCACGGAGGCACGCACAGGCCGACACCTGGCCACGTTCTCGCGTCGGCCGGGGTCGAGTCTCTACACCCTGACCGTTGAGTCTCCTCCTGTCCCTGCGTCTGGTCAGGTGGTTGCGTCGGGTCAGGTGCTTGCTGCTGCGTCCCGGTCAGGTCCTGAGTCTGCCCCCTGTTCTTGTCGCCTCCTGTCTCACGAGACTCTCCTGTGGCACCACCGTCTTGGCCACCCCTCCTTGCCCCGTCTTCGGAGCATGGCTTCCCGTGTCCTTGTCTCTGGTCTTCCCCAGTCTCTCCCTCCTCTCCCCTCCGGGCCAGGACCTTCCTGTGTCCCCTGTGTCGAGGGTCGCCTCCGGGCTACTCCTCACTCCTCCCACTTCCCCCCGACAGAGGCTCCCCTGCAGACGCTTCACATGGATGTGTGGGGCCCAGCCCCCGTCCGTGGGCAGGGTTACGAGCGCTACTTCCTGTTGGTGGTTGACGACTACTCGCGTTACACCACAGTCCTCCCCTTGCGCAGCAAGGGTGCGGTCACTGAGGTACTGATCGACTGG